TATCTGTCTCAACATCGCGCACCCGATGTGTGTATCGATCACAGAGCGGACGTCCTAAGTGGTCCGGAGCATGCTAACGTAGAAGCACCGTTGCTATCCTCTAGTACAGTCGCAGATGCTACGGATCAGGAAGCTTCTGTTGGTGCCGAGGGGGATACGAGTGTGCTGCACAGCGCTGATGGAGGAACTGTGCCCGATGTAGACTCGAGGGACGGTGCTTGCGTTGTTGTCACGGATAGTGTGGCTGATGGTGATGACAGGCTGACGACAGGAGGTGATGGGGATACTGGGACTAACGCTGTCAGACGAAGTAAAAGAAAAAGATCCGCCCCAAAGCTTTATGGAGAATGGCTGTTTAGTTAACTTCATGTGTTCCTACGCACGATGTTACATGGCGGTGTATGGCGGGGAGGAATGTGACGAATGTGTCCTGTGCATGTTGTGACTGTGTGTTATCCTTCCCCGGCAGACCTGTATCTGGGCCGAATACATGCTTTGAACTGAACATTACAAACTTCTAATCCGAAAACATAAACTTCAAAGCGTCGATTCTTTCCACGCCCACCAACCATGTATGTACGTACTATTCCATTTCTTCAGTGGGGACAGATACACACCGTTCTTGTGGAAGAGTTTCCGATACAACTGCAGATCATTTACGAGTTCATATTCGACCACACGCGACTAGCCATGCGCTGATACGTGCATGGTTGATATGTGACGAAGACCTTTCACAGCTTCTTGCACAGATCACTTGTGACCTCAGGTACCTATTTGGCGTCTGAGTCTGAAGAACCTAATGTAGCAGGATATTTTCATCCTGCATGGGCCGTATGGTGGTACATACCAGGACGCATCATATAAGAGAGTGTGCGTGCCAATGCCAGGAGTCAGTTAACGGTTCTGCCTCGGAGTTGGCTGAGCCGTCTAGACTTGGGCACCTTCCTAATTTTCAGCTTTAAGCAATGACATTCGTCGACTTCAGTTCAACATCAGCTACGGGTTTGGACTGAGCCTGTAGAGTGCAGTGTGCAGTGTAAGGTCCGTTATCTTGAAAGGATACTGCTGGCAGCGGCCGTCACCAGCCACTGGTTCCATGACATCGATAGGTATATCTGCACCCGTCTCAAGGCATCAGCTGGTATAGGAGCGGCACATGCCCAGAACTGGAGTCACGAGCAGTCGTGCGCGCGTTCGGCCAGGCCAGTGCTGTCCGTCATCAGCAAAATTGCAAACATATTTCTTTCATAAAGGGGTGAGGATGGAGTTTCGGTGTTACCGTCCTGTGGTGTGCTTGGCCAGCTTCCTTTCCATATGCACAAACGCACATGCTGTGTGCGGGTTTGGGTGTTTGTGGGGCAGGGGCAAAGCTACACTCATACAGCAGCCACCCGACGGTGGTGTAAAGCTTGCGCCCCTCCCTCAGCCGTCTCTGCAACTCCGGGACTCGGGGAGTTCGGCTAGCGAATTGGCAAAGGTCATCAGTCGTGCATACCGGCATAGCTTAGTGCTGCTTTTATGTCGGTATAGATATACAGAAGCAATTGATAACTTGTTTATCTACTTCATGCCATATTTCCGTTAAAATACGGCATGCGAGTTATATCGTCACATACCGTAACGGTTTTTAATGCCACTCAAACCCAGATTGTATCGATAGGTCAATGTTCATGTCCTTGGGATCGGTCATTGCCTTTGCTGAATGAGACGACTTATTGAAAATTAGGTGGTTCCAATGAGAAAGCTTCGATCGCTTATTTTTGCCCTCCTGACTACATAGCCATTCGTTCTAAGAGTTGCGGTCTTTAGCTCTACTAATGACGGTCTAAGCGAGAGTGAGTGTAAATGAGCATATGCTGTTCATTGACCAAAATGATATTTTTGGTGCTCTCTTTTACCGCTGCACGTCGAATATACAACTAAAGCAATGTTGCACGGTGTCTAACAGTCATTACTACCACTGCGACACATTGGCTTTGCATATTTATAGTCGTTCAAATTAAATCATTTTTCCACAAAATTAAAACTCCAATGCAAGCTCGCGACCCATAAAAGTGGTCTAATATCATTATTTCTGTCACTGCTATAGATCCAGAACAGAGCAAATAATGATGAAATCGATCCCAACCTGTTAGCTTGGTAACCTTGTCCCAACATAAAACAATGTTAATTTGGTCGATTTTCTGCTAAAATTAACATGTTCATTTTGAATTCGTGACCCCCAAAAATCGTTTGGCTTCGTTATTTTTGGCACAGATGGAATCAGAATAGGTCAAATAATGGGAAAATTGACCCCAACCTGTTGGCATGGTAATCTTGTTTCAAAATTAAATAGCATTATTTTGTCTATTTTTCGCTAAAATTGGCATTTTCATTTTGAATTCGCGACCCCTAGAAATCGTTTGATTTCGGTATTTTTGGCACAGGTGGAATCAGAATAGACCAAATAATGGGAAAATCCACCCCCACCTAAAATTTGGAAAATTGACCCAAAAATGGGTACCCCTAATGTGCATACACATAATCCGGGTTGATACTTATGCATTTAAACATTATATAGGACCAGATATGTCCGAAAAAGCAAAACCAACAAGAGTTTTACTGGAGAGCCGTACATATGTTGCTATTAGAGGTCACTGGTCATACCAGGTCAGGTCACAGGTCAGGTCACCAAAGGTCACCAAGTGTCACCACATGAGCCCAACTTTACTAAGGTTATGTGATGCATGTTTTATGGTCAGTTGTTCATTTCCAACTCAATGGTGTTGGTTATAAGACCATCAGGTACGGTTTAAGCCACTTTCTGGTGGAGGTCAGGTCAAGGTCAGGTCAAAAAAGGTCAAATTTCAAAGTTGATATTTTTGCATAAAATGGGTATCGATTCGATGCAGCTCGTCACGGGGAGTCTAATGGTGGTCTTTGTTTTGCGCTACGAGGTCTAGAATTGCTAAAAATTGAGTTTGAAAATTTGACGTCACCAATTTTGAACAGTTTTTTCGCTATAACTTGGCCAAAAAACGAGGTATCGATCTCAAATTTGGTATGTAGATAGAAGGCGGTAGGGACTATCACATATATTCCGGTTTTTTCGAAATTCAAAAAACTTTTTGGATTTTTTGGCTATTATATTTAAAAAAAATATATTTTTTGATTTTTGGGGGTCGAAATCCAAAAAATTCGAAAAACCGAAATAGCAGTTTTGTAGCCCTTTTAATTCCACACCTTTGATGTCTAAAACATTTTTCTGTATCTCTAAAGCTGTAGGCCTGACAGCTCTTCCCGCGAAACCTTTTTTTGGGTCGAAAATGGCAAAAATGACGTCACTCTTACGTCATTAGCGGCCAATCTATCATAGCCTTTGGAAAAATTTTTGGTCACCATGTGCGCTAGCTGCTCCCGGGAGGGTACTGAAAGTTTGGTGACGATCGGCGCAGCGGTTCTCGAGATATATCGAAAAAAGTAAAGGGGGGGGGCAAAAAAATGCCCCCCCCCACCGCCTGGAAGGTTAAGAAAAACGGACTATAATTAGTCCATTATATTCCAAACTAGGCATATTTTCATGATGTCAATTGATCAATATGACATCATGGTGAGTTTTTGAAACCTTTTCACATAAGTATTTTGTTCAGCACTTATGTGTAGCTAATTATAACAATTTTGTATCGTTATAAAATTTGTAGCGTAAATATTACGTCCAATAGAGGCCCAAATCATTGACCATCACCATTCACCACACGGCACACGACTTGTCATCCTACAGCTTGCCATGGCTTATGGCTTCCGTCTTACCTTAGGATGAGGCAGCATTACCTGCAATACATGTAATATGTGTTGTATCCAGTTATGTTTGCGTTTGGCGGCGGGCGGCCGTTTTTTGCGACGTTTTGCGGTTGGCGGCGGGCGTGCGGGCGTTGCGGGCGTTTTTTTTGCGGAGGTGTTTGCGTTTTTTTGCGGTTTTTGTGCTTGGCGGCAGGCGGGCGGGCGATGCGGGTGTTTTTGCTGTTTGCGTTTGGCGGCGGGCGGCCGTTTTAGCGGCGGTTTGCGGCGGGCGGCCGTTTTTTGCGGCGTTTTGCGGTTTGCGGCGGGCGGCCGTTTTTTGCCGCGTTTTGTGGTTTGCGGCGGGTGGCCGTTTTTTACGGCGTTTTGCGGTTGCCGGCGGCCGGCCGTTATTTCCGGTTAGCGGCGGGCGGCGGGCGGTCGTTTTTTGCGGCGTTTAGCGGTTTCCGGCGGGCGGCCGTTTTTGCGGCGTTTTGCGGTTCGCGGCCGTTTTTTGCGGCGTTTCGCGGTTGGCGGCGGGCGATGCGGGCGTTTTTTTGTGGCGGCGGTGTTTGCGTTTTTTGCGGTGTTTGCGTTTTGCGGCGGACGCGCGTTTTTTGCGGCATTTTGTGCGTTTTTTTCTGCGGTTTTCGGCGGGCGGGCGATTGTTTTTTTGCGAAGTTTGCGTTGGCGTTTTAGGCGTGCGTTTTGCGTTGTTTCCGTTTGGCGGCGGGCGGGCGGTTTTTCACAATTAAAGTCCCAACCTTCGGATCCGCAGTGCTGTTCGACAAGCGCTGCCCGGGCCTATGTGTTGTATCCAGTTATTCTTGGTTTGATTTAGGCTTCAGATTTTCAGGGATAAACTGCTTCTCCACGTTATTTATAAACATTTGCTAGAAAAAAAGCAGTTCCTTAGAGCAAAAATAACAAGCAAGGAGCGTTGCCGCCGGCCAGTTTTCCTGTTCTTTGTGTCCCTGTGTCGCCCCCTGCCCCGTTCAGGAGCGCCCGACAGCGCCACCTGCACCTGACCAGTCCGGCAGCGTTTGGGGTCGCCGCGCAGTGCGCACCGCCGACAATCAGCTGACGCGGCCGGCAGCGCGTCTCAAGGTCACTGGAGGTCAGCCGGGCCGCGGGCCGCCGGGTGGCCGTGACGTCACAGCCAGCGAACGCTGAGCGCCGGAACAGCTACTGTTGTTTATCCCTTCCTAGCCATTCATATATGAGTAACTTCAACCGCTGCTCACCATCTGTGACTACTAGGGTAATCCGTGACCCCAGCTCCGTGGCCAGGTGACTGATGGTGTCGGCAGCCACCCCCTGGAGAGATACCGACAGACCACTCCCGTACCGTTCCGGCCACATCGACTTCGTCACCTCCGGCCCTGTCGGACAGGGCTGTGTCAGCTGACTGCAGTCGGACGGAGCTGCTGCCGGGTCGGGAGGCGGCTGACACCGTGGTGTCAAACCCTGACACAGACGACACTGACAAAGCCAGGGTCGATCGGCACTGTTGGACAGTAATTGAACATTGTGCACAATGCATGCGCTACGCTTATACATGCGTCAGTTAAAACCCGCGCCCAGATGGGGTCTGTCGAGCAATGCGGTCTGATGGGGGGGCATTTTGTCCCCCCCTCAGATCTCGAGAACCACGCAACATAGCGACAAGCGGTGAACGGTGTTGGATAGCCGCAACGGGGAACTACCTTGTGACCCAATTTTATTGACCTCGGTCAAACCGATGACGTCACAGGTCAGGTCAAAGGTCGAATTTTCACCGTTTACAGGCATTTCAAGAAATGCGTTGTAAAATCGTGTAAAATGCATTTCATTGAAAATCATCGATGGGGAAATGTTCTTCAAACACATATTCTGCTATTTGAGGTCACTGATACCAGGTCAGGTCACAGAGGTCAGGTCACTGGCGGGTCACAATATGAAAGTGTCGTGTGATACATGTTTTATGGTCCATTTTACATGACAAATGCGATTATGTGGATCACACAGACTTTAGGGCCAGCTTAGGTCACGTTTTGGTCAAGGTCAGGTCAAGGCAGGTCAAGGTCAGGTCAAATTAGGTCAAATTTAAAAGTTGATATTTTTGCATAAAATGGGTATCGATTCGATGCAGCTCGTCACGGGGAGTTCAATGGTGGTCTCCGTTTTGCGCTACGAGGTCTAGGATTGCGAAAAATTGAGTTCAAAAATTTGACGTCATCAATTTTTAAGTTTTTTTTTCGCTATAACTTGGACAAAAAAGAGGTATCGATCTAAAATTTGGTATGTATATCGAAGAGTGCAGGGACTATCACATATATCCCGTTTTTTTTCGAAATTCGAAAAAAAGTGGATTTTTTTTAGTTTTTCTAAAAAAATCAATATTTTTGATTTTTGGGGATCGAAATCCCAAAATTTCGAAAATCGGAGATAGCAGTTTTGTAGCGCCGTCTTTTCTCTACACAACCACATAAAGAACTTGTTAACTGTAGAATTGGTGAGCGTTTCAAGATGTCATGTTTTTTGCTCATTTTTACTCGAACATGACCTCAGTTTGACCTCAATAACTCCTGACCTGAGGTGACCTGTGACTTGAAATTTTGTGTGAAAGTGTCAAATTGATGCCCGGTAAGGTACCCAAAATTTCGCGGGTTCTGCGCGCCGCCGTTTTTCGCTATTTAAGAAAAACCACAGGGGGCCAAAATGCCCCCCCCCCCATCAGGGCGCGGGTCCTCGCCCGCACATGGGAGGGGGGTTGCGACCCCCCCAGGTAGTCTTTCTGCTCTGCACTCAACATTTTTAGAGCTAGAAGGCTGATTTTTCGTATAGCTGCTCCTCTATCCCTTCGTGATGTCCACTGATAATTTCAAGTTTCTGCGGTTTTTGGTTTCGGAGATATGACCTTGTTTTTCAGGTCATGTCATGACCCAAATGGCCAATTCTCAACATCTTGCGTTGGCTATGGGCCTTGTGAGCTTTTGACACCTTGATTTCGACCTGTTATGCCAGTCTTACCTCCCATCTATCATGGAACATGTTGTTCGACGATGTACAGATGTCAAGGTCAGGGTCAAGGTCAACCTAGGTCATCTAAGATAATTGCGCTTTAGGCAAGCTAAATTAACTTTTTTTGAAGTTTTTTTACTGCATTTTTGGTAAAAGCTTCTCAGATCATGATTTCATGTAATATGGACACATAAACAATCGGTGCACACATCGGTGCACACATCAGTATACACGCAGACACACACAGACATACAAACACATATCATTGACCTTGACCTAACTTGACCTGAAATGACCTCAGCAGCAAAAACCTGGTCGGGTAGTGTGACAAAGAGGTTCTAGCTGGCTTGGCACCAGAAAACGGCATCGTCATCGGTATATGATAAGCAGCGCACTTGATATCCAACGGTGACCCAAAACAGCAACATTTTTGAGTTTGACCTGACCTGGAAGGTCAATGACTGACCTGGGAAGGTAAAACTGGGTATCATTGGATTCGTCTCTTCCCAAAGAATCTTTTTGGTCTTTATCGCTAAGCTCTATCTCCAACAGGAACGAAATGGCGCGGGGGGTGGCAACCCCCTCCCCCCCCATGTGCGTTCTAGGATGGGAAAATGGCATGTGCGGGCGAGGGTTAATTAATACAGTTCAGTACATACAGGTCATACCGGTTCAGTACATACAGGTTCGTTTGCAAGAGTATAAAGTAGGTATGTACAATACAGTGGCTAATGTTTGTGTAGCATGTAGGTAGCATGGCACACATATGTCCGCTGAACGTTTATCACTGAAACTGTTACTTTATGTACTATGTAAGTACCTACCACCATTCAGAAGTAATAGTACGTGTTTCCTCAACTACTTCTCACCGGTAACGTATAGCGTCCTCAGTGACGTCGGCAGCAGCCGCAGCCACCGCCCCGTTCCGAAGGACGGGACCCTGACGGTCAGCTCCTCCAAGCGGGGAAGACTCTGCAGGAGCGCCGTCAGCTGGTCTTCGCCAAGGGCTGACGGAGCGTCGAACGTCGTCACGGTCCTTAGCGCCTCTCTCAGCACTGTGGTATCACTGTCTGCCGTTGGCTGCGGCTCCGTCTGTACCGTGACGTCATGAAACGCTTTTGTAATTTTACTGAAAAGACAAGAAAAAGAACATAAATCAAAATGCAAAAGAAGTTCACAACTTTAGTTGGCTCCTTTGATGATCCGATATGCATTTAGGTAGGGGAGAGAGGTCATATTGCGCCACCTTAACCCTATTAGTGGCAGGGGGGGGGGGGGGGGTGTTTTCATCCACCCCTCAGTTTTTTTTTTCGGGAATATCTCCGAAACCGATGAAGCTACGATGCTGAAATTTTCTGACTTTTCCTAAAACTAAAGTGGACACATTCCCTGAAAATTTCAAGTTCATAAATTTACCAGGGGCGGCTCCAGAGCACTGGGAATGGGGGGGGGTCCTATTCGTGAAGCGAGTCATTTGGGCGAAGATCACGATGCTGCACCAGTTTTACGAACAGTGAATGAAAGGTATCATGTGATAACATATAAAAAATTATTGTGCATCCCCTTTTGACACGTTTTTGCTATAATAGGTGGATCCAGGCGTCCAAAAAGGGGGGTCATGTTTTACCTCCCAACATAGGTGCCCTGACACCGCCTATGCATGACCAATACAATTGTAGTCGTTCTCTCATAAGAAAATTTAACATAACAAGACCATTACCACCCTTTTTAGAAACAGTACCAACAAAAACCTTATTTACTATACTTTTTGTGTACCCCCAATCTCAATGATCTGTATCCGCCTATGATTTTTGAAAATGCATATTTTTAGGATCCATGTGAATTCCTGGTTCATTCTCTATCGATGGGCAAAAGTTGCGTTAAGATAGGTTCAGAAACCTGGCCGTGATAAACAGTCTAAAATGTATCTGCAATTTGCCCGTTTTTACCCCCCTTCCCCCCCCCCCCCTATTGACATTTTTTTACTTTCATTTTTTAGAAATGAGATCACGTGGAGCGAAATCGAATGCCGTTTGAATTTTGAAAATCGGCCCGTTAGATCTCGAGATATCAGGGGGGGGGGTCGTAAACAGCCCCCCTGCCACTAATAGAGGTAGCCAGGAGCCTGCCACTAATAGGGTTAAGGATATCGGCCTATTGCGGCTAAAGTTGACCAGCTGTCATGCTTGATGATATCTCAAATTGTACCTCAGTTATTTTGGCATCAAATTACAACTCCTAATTTGTATCACACCCATAAAAAATAACAAGAGAAAAGTTTTCCGACACACCTGCAAAGGGCGCATTTACGGACTACCCCATCAAAAAGCGCCCATGCCTCTCATGTAAAAGCGCCCTATTAAAAACAACGGTTTGCCACCTAACTAAGTAGCCTATTTGGACGTGTCAGCCCATTAAACATTTATGCTGTGAAGGCTAAGGTAATGGTAAGGTGAGCGCTCTAATATTCAAAGTGTTCAATGAAATGTGTCCCAACCACAAGATGCTGTTTCTCTGGGCTGAAGAATAGGGCGCCTAGGGTGGACGCAATTACGGTTGGAACACATTTTTCATGAGCTTCAAATATGGCAAGGACAGGAAGCCACGGTGATGATAAACTTTCAAAACTACCATTAAACGAGCAATTAACAATGATTATTAGTTGAATCACTATCTCTAAGATAAACCATGACACTAGCAAAGGTCGAAATAGACTGTTTCGCGTAAGAAAATAGAGGAAATCACAAAAAATGGTCTGTGAGAAAGCTGAGACACCTCACCTGCCCCCGTGGACCGGAATAAGAGCGAGTTATTGGTGGTGAAGTAAATGCACACATTCGAGCATTCATTCGAATCGAATTTTGGACAGGAGGAAGGTGTGGCGCATTTAAGAACATGGCGCAATATGACCTCTCTCCCCGACATATCGTCGTCAGCAATAGTATGTTGTCAAATCTATTCGGTTGAATAAAATCGTTCAGAGTTGATTTCATACGAATCCAATCGATTTGATACGACCGATTAGATTTTGTGACACGATTGCTGATGACATGTAAATACGTGCGGGATATAATGCCCCGAACTGGCCAACATTATGCAGATTGCAGGACGTCTGTCGAAAGCTGGAACAATACGATCGAGACTAAACGGCTAACTTGCAGAAGATGGTACGAATTCAAGGCATGTTTCTTTAATTGGGCGGAAATTACAATTACAAGCTACTCGACCTTCAAAGACCTAGTTATGTTTTATTTCTTACACCTTCTACAAAGAGAGTTTACTTTTCACCATGACAGCTCTCCGAACTCTCTCAGCCCCCACAGCCACCCCTGCTGCCTCCCAGTCTCACCCCTGGGGACGGCCGGATGGCGCCGCTCGCCGGCGGACCTCCTGCCGCAGCTCCTCCACCACGGTCTGGCGAGTGGTCCGCTCCTCGACCACTGCCTGCTCCAGGCGGACCACCGCACCGTGAAGTGCGGCGTTCTCCGCCTTGAGCTTCTGCGTGTCCGAATGGTCCTTCGCCATTACCTCACTCAGAATGGTCACCTTTTCACGAAGGGGGACCACCACTTCCCGAAGGGCGGACATCTCTTCACGAAGGGCAGCCACCACTTCACGAAGGGCGGACACCTCCCGGCGAAGGGCGACCAGGTCTTCACGCACATCTGTCATCTCCATCTGGAACACAGAATTACAGTTTTTTACGTTTCTACTAATCATATAAAGGTGACATAGTACGTTATGTTACGTCGTACGCATTACGACATGTTGCGCAGCGTCGTGTCTAATCACGTCACAAAACGACATGTCATTACGTATTACGACATGTTTTGTCATGTAACCCGCATTGCTGCATACCGGACAAACAAGCTTGGCAGGCACGCAAACTGGTAACCACTATAGAAACTTTCTATCGTTATTAGTTTTTCGCAAAAAAAAATGAGATAATAAAGAAACGTTATTACTACGTATGTTTACCCTTGGCCGGGCCTTTTTCATAATGCGGACGGTGAGGGTAGAGGGGCTGGTACGACCTCTGGCGGTTACCTCCTAATGCACTGAGAAACACCAGATGTATAGGGTGTTTAGGATGGATAGGATGTATAGGATACAGACAGTCACACAGCAGGACTGACACAGTCACACAGCAGGACCTCGGCTAAGGAATTTCGACTGGGCAGATGGGGACAAACCCGACTCCACAATGTCATAATATACCACCTAATATACACCGTATAAGCGGACCTTTACACCACACCTAACATACATACCATATACCGTAGGTAAAGGTATATCAAAATCCTGCCTAATCAGTTAAGCATCCGTAAACATGTCTAAACAAACTTCTACCAAAGGTTTGGAGGTCAGCGTAGGGCCCTCAGAAGCCGAAGTCGAGCCGTCGGAGGCTAGCATGGTCATTTAGAGTCCGCTTTGGGACCTTCGTGGGGCCCAAGGAAGCCAGTGCGTAGCCCTTTAGACCAGCGTGGGGTAATATAAGGGCAGCGTGGGTTCCTCTAAGACCAGCGGCGTGGGGTCTTCTGAGGCCAGATTGGGGCCCACTGGGAACAGCTCAGCTTGGGGCTATCTAAGGACAATGTAGGCCCTCTTAGGTTAACGTGGGGCCCTCTGTCCTCTGAAGTCTAAGGTTGGCGCTGGGCCCTCAGAGGCTGGCGTTGGACCATCAGAGGCCACCTCGAGGGCCTCGACGGTCAGACTGTAGCCCTTATGCATGTTTAACCCACGAGGCGCTGAGGGGGGCATAAAGTTGCCCCCCCCCCTTTACGTTCTGCGGAATATCTCCGAAACCTGATAAGCTACGAACGTGAAACTCAACGTAGCTTCAAATGAATACCTAGGCAATGTTTGAGCAAAATTTAGTGGTTGTAGCACTTAACCCGCGCCCCACTGGGGTCTGCGTATAACACGCCCTACTGGGGGGCTCTCCATAGCCCCCCTCCTAACTCCAAAATTACTGGGCCGATCGTCAAAATTTTAAGGAAAACTACATTTAAGGAAAACTTGATCATAATCTTATACTGCGGCAATTGTAGTTCTGCTTACGGTTGCCTCTTTATGATACGGGCCACCACCACCTCCACTGCGCTGGAGCTCAGGCGTTCTACACCTCCCCGCTACGGACCGGCCCTCGGGCTAGGTGTGTTAGTACTGAGAGCAAACCTGTAGTAGTCACGTGACTTTCATTCACGTAGCGGGAACGGAAGCTATAGGCGATAACAAGGATGAGCTCTGGGGAGGCAACCGGCGTGGAAAAATAGCACGATTGTAGTTTTGGAAGAATATCTGTGGCGGTAAGAGGAATTAGACAAAACCTACGTCCTAGGAGCAAACATGTGGTATTCCTCCATACTTTGCGCTACATTTCCTTTCTCCAAATGCCAGCGCTTAGCAAATAATAGCGCAATTCTAACTTGGTAATATATGTGTACAGTAGCAACTGCGGGTCCCTGTACCTACCTGATTGCTGCGTGCTCTTAAGTTAATTTGTTTTGTAGTTACCAATTTCAGTTAAACGATTTGATTCAACTCCTGATTTCAGGGATTTATAAAATAAATTGAATCATTTCATGACTTGACCCAACCACATTTTTGGTTTGATTGATTCAAGGCATGACTCAAAGGTACTGAGTTTGTTTAATAATTTGCGGAATGAATTGTCTTATGATTCAAATATCAAGCATCTTTACCTTAAGTTTATTAATCACATGTAAATCACTTCGACTCATGACTGATTCAGGCCTCAGCGGGAAAGCGAATTTATTCAACATATGACTCAAGTTTCATTGAGTCGATTCAACCTTTGACTTAAACTGCTTATGCATATGTGAATCGAATCGACTCATGACTCATTCTGATCTCAAAGTTTTTGATTCGATTCAACTCATGACTCGAAGAAAATCGACTGATTCTTGAGTCGATTCATGATGCAACTCTGAGTCATATACAACCCTGGACAGCACATCTGTATTGCAGACGCACACCTCCGGCTCACAAACAACTTGAAACAAATGACATATATTTATGTATTGAGCCGGCGCGTCTCTATCCGAAATGGGTTTCCCTTTCACCTTCATCCAATGCCTGTCCAATTCATATGGCTGAGGCGGGAAACCTACTAGGTGAGTTGACTAGTTGAGTGGACTTTCAGGTCAAAAAAGGTCAAATTTTGAAGTTAAAATTTTTCAACAAAAAAGGTGTCTGTTGGATGCAGGTTGAGCTCAGGAACACGATGGTGCTATTAATATTGGTGTACGATGTCACATACGTACTGAAAATTGATTTGAAAAATTAATAATTGTGAATTTTTTGCAATAATGCGTATAACTTCGCCATTTTTGAAGATATTTAGCTAAAACTTGCTAGAGATGTTCATAAGCATGCGTTCTGTCACATATATTCCGTTTTTTTTTTTCGAAAAGTCAAAAACTGAAAAAATATAAAAATATAAATTTTAAATATTATTTTATAAAATTTTCGAAACTTTCAAAATTTTGAAAATCCGATATTGCAGTTTGATAGCGCAGTCAATTCTGAGTGCTATCATGCAAAGAAATTGGATCTAACTCAAAAACTGAGCTATTGGAAGCGATTGCCGTGGTTCAATGTTTTGCGTCGAAATCGGCCGAACATGACGTCACTCTGACGTCATTCCCGGCCGACCTATGGTAGCTACGAAGTTCAAATTTTGACAAAAGGTGTCAAATTGATGCAGCCGAAGGTACTGAAAGTTTGGCGTCGATATGTCGAGTGGTTTGGAAGTTATTGCAGAAAAACGGGAGGGGGGGCTATAAATAGCCCCACAGTGGGGCGCGGGTTAAGATGGCGTCACAGTGACGTCATAAAATATTGTCGTTTTCCGATACGGACCGTTTCTGATGTCGCTGAGCATGAAACTCAACTGTAAATGAACTAAAAACAGCACCTGCTGTAATCCTGAAACACCTAAATACACTTCCATCTAGTTCCTGACCAATAATCGGCCCTTTATATACGGTCCCATATATTCAGAAACGAATTATTCGACACCAGTAATATGTATATGATCGGTAGCTTTCGGGGGCTGCTGCCTCCTTCATCAGCCTGCTTTTTAAATGCATTAGAACACAAGACAATACGTTTCAAACATGTCTACCAAAAAGTAAACTGCCACGAGGAAAAGTTGTAACGGTACGTCTCAAGCATAGATGCACAAAACAGTTTGATACATGATAACAACTAATAACACATAATTAAGTCGCCATCGTCCGTAACATCCGTAATAAAACATTCGACATTAATCGTGATCCGTGGTCGTAACAATCGAGTTTGCACAATCGGGGTCATGACACATTAATCGATGGTAATCGTTAAAGGATCGTAATCGTTACATACTCGCAGGCGCACAAGCTTGCATAAATTCGCTCTGATAGCCACACGCCTATACAACAAAACAATTTTCAACAATCCAAAAGCAAGTGTACCTATTTTTGACAGCTCACTCAGCCTCATCGAAAAGCGCCTTACACACGTAGTGCCCGGTACATATCAGGCACCTCTCACCCGGGTAAGATGTTAATGCTATTGTGTCTTTCTACCCTGGAAATGTAAAAACCCTCCTTCACCTTTCGTTTACCCCAGTTCGTTTCATAATCCAAAATTTTAACTTCGTCCCATTTGATAGAGTGCCCTGTCTCTAGCACATGTTTAGATATCCCTGAGTGATACCGGTTTCCGTTTGCTATAGCTCGTTTGTGTTCCGATTCCCTCGTCCTTAGCGTTCTCCCGGTTTCTCCTACATAAATTTTTCCGCACTGACACTTATACTGATAGACCAGCCCAGCCTTCTCCTTCACCCCCAACCTGTCCTTAGGTTTGACGAGTCTAGCACTAAGGTTGGCTGCAGGTCTCGTGCTGACCTTCGCGTAGGGTCGAAGGACGCGCGTTACCTGTTCAGTCACTAGAGGTCTGCACCGGCCGGCTGCAGCCGCGGCTGGCTGCAGCCCCACGGCTGTGGGCCGGGGCGGCTGCAAATATCTCCAAGAACACGGCTGCGGCTGTGGCCACGGCTGTTAGATTTCAAGCTCAATCTTAAGTACTCAATTATAAAATTTTAAATCCTTAATCTTACATTCTGATAAGCAGTCTAGCCTGTAAAAATCATGCAAAGGATGCCCAGCAACATTGAAAGTGGTGAAGCCTTTGAAAACCTGTAATGGTTTTACCATTTGCTGTAGGGGAGTTTGCACTCTGGTACAGAATACTAATTATAGGTACCAATTGTTCCTTCATCATCAAGAGCTTGACAGTTTCAGAAAATGCAACATGTTGCATTGTCACATCCCTCTCAAATCAATCTCACCTGGTCATTAGGAGAGCACCTTACAGCTATTGAAGACGAGCGTTCAATAATTCTTTCAGGTAATAGAAAAAGAAATCACGCCTAGGTAAAGGCAGGTAAAGGCTTCATAAAATCAGGGTTACTTTTAAAGGGGGGAAGAGGGGAATTTCCCCCCTTCGAAAATTCCGCTCCCCCTTTCAAATCGTGTCTGAACGGCTAGGGAGGGAAGGGGGAATTTCCCCCTTTCAAATTTATTTTGGAGCCCATTTTCAATCAATTCGCTATTCAGATTCTATAGCCATCGTTAATCAGATTCTCGTCATCAATCAACGTTGCTGGCGTT